AAGGAAAGGAAAGGAAAGGAAAGGAAAGGAAAGGAAAGGAAAGGAAAGGAAAGGAAAGGAAAGGAAAGGAAAGGAAAGGAAAGGAAAGGAAAGGAAAGGAAAGGAATTTGCCAAGTGTAGTAGCCTATGCCTTTAATCCCAGTACCTGGGAGGCAGAGGCAGGCAGGTCACTGTGGATTCCAGACCACCTTGGTCTACAAAGCATGTTCAAGGCTATCCAGTGAGATTCTGACTCAGAAAGTAGAAGAAAGGAAAGAGAGAAAGGACCTCCTTACAAGGAGAGAAAGAGAAGACGGATGTCAGAAATTCACAAGGGTAGTGACAGTATCCTTGAAATGTGCAAAGAAAAAGATGGCAACTTGCAGAAAAGAAACCAATCATGGGTCGCTCTAGCTGCATGATGTCCAGGTAGAGGAGTTGTAAGCTTTGATAGTTGAAAGCCTCCACATGCACCAGGACAAGCCCAAATCCTCACAAGTTTAAAAATCAGTTGCAAGTCAACATGGCTGAGAGTACAGGGACTCAGTAACATCTTGAGAGGAAACCTTACATTTGAAACTGACTTACCAGAGGGGCCTGAGAATAGGTAACATTTAGGAGTCTGAATTTAGCCTGTCAATTTCAGTGTAAGAAATTATCCTGAGAGGCATTTGTGGTGAGCTGTAGGTACATACACAAACTGGCTGAAAACTCAAGTCTCCAAGTAGCTCCCTTTAGACAGTAAACTGCTCAAGGAAAAGGGATTCCAGCATTCAGTGGTTGGCATCAGATATCAACTTCTGATAATAACTCAGGTGATACTTGCTGATCACTGAATTTAAAAATTCCTTTTACTTTTTATCATTTTCATATTCATTTAAATAGGCTTAATTTGATTATTGAGTGTTCCTAAGTACTTCAGTTTTCTTTTCTTAGTTTTAAATTAGTTGCTTTTTAACTTATTTACTTTAGTCCCCACTGCTCCCTTAATCATCACCCCTCCTACAATCCATCTGACATCCCTCCTTTTCTCCCCTGAGCAGGTGAGAGTTATCCTGAATATTCCCTAAACCTAGCATATCAAGTCCCTATAAGGCTAGGAGCATTTCCTCCCACTAAGGCCAGACAAAGCTTCCCAGTGAGATCATATCCCAGGTGCAAGGAAAAGCTTTTAGGATAGCCCCTACACCAGTTGTTTGGGAACTAAGCTACACATTGGCTACATACATGTGTGTGGGGGGGCTAGGTCCAGCCTATGTATGTTCTTTGGTTGGTGGTTAACTCTCTGAGAGACCCAAGGGTCCAGGTTAGTTGACTCTGATGATCTTCCTGTGGAGTTCCTATCCCCTTCAGGCCTGTAATCCTTCCTCCTATTCTTCTATAAGAGTACCCAAGGTCAATCCATTGTTTGAGTATAGGTGTCTGCATCTGTTTCAGTTAACTGCTGGGTGAAGTTTCTCAGAGGACAGCCATGCAAGCATAACTGAGTATCATTAATAGTGTCAGAGGTTGGTATTTATCCATAGGATGGGTCTCGAGTTGGACTGGCTATTGGATGACATTTTCCTCTGGCTCTGTACCATCCCACATCCTTGCTTTTCGTGTAGACAGGATGATTTTGGGGGTGAATATTTTGTGGGTAGCTTGGTGTCTCTATCACTCCACTGGGGTTCTTGCTTGACTACATGAAGTGGTCTCTTCAAGTTCTAAATCCCTACTGCTGTGAGTCACAGCTAAAGACACCCTCATTGATTCTTGGGTAACTCCCTTATCCCAGGTCTCTGTCTCTTCCTGGAGATGCCTCCCACCTCCCCACCCCCATCAATTACAAATTTCCATTCATTCTCATGGCCATCTGGCCATCCCTCTTGTCCCTCCCTAAGCCTGTAGCCCCCATTATGTTCCCCATCCCCTCTCCCACCCAGTTCCCTCCCTTTATCTGCCTCTTATAACTATTGTATTCCCCTTTCTAATTGAGATTCATGCATCTTCGCTTGTATCATACTTCTTGTTTAGGTTTTTTTTGGGGGGGGCAGGTCTGTGGAGTATAACATAGTACCCATATTTTATGACTAATGTCTACTTATCATCGAGTGCATATCAAGCTTGTCCTTTTAGGACTGGGTTACCTCACTCAGGATGATATTCTCAAGTTCGTTCCATTTGCCTGTGAAATTTATGACACGTTAGTTTTTAATATCTGAATTGTATTCCATTCATTAAAGGTACCAAATTTTTATTATTCATTCTCCAGTTGAGGAAATTCTGTCTATTGTTGTTGTTTCCAATTTCTGTCTATTACAAATAAGGCTGCTACCAACATAGCTGACCAAGAGTCTTTGTGAGATGTTGGAGCATCTTTTGGGTACATATCCATGAGTGGTATAGCAGAGTAATAAGGTAGAACTATTCCCAGTTTTCTGTGAATCTTCCAAATTCATTTCCAAAATGGTTGTACAAGGTTGCACTCCCACAAGCAATGGGGTGATGTTCCTCTTTCTCCACATTCTCACTAGCATGTTCTATCACTTGAGGGTTTTTTTTGTTGTTGTTGTTGTTGTTTTTTTTTTTTTTTGCCATTCTGAGAGGTGTAAGATGGAATTTCAGGATTGTTTTGATTTTCAGTTCCCTGTTTATAAAGGAATTTGAACATTTCTTTAAGTGCTTCTAGTCTATTGCAGATTCTCTGTTCAGCTCTGTACCCTAGTTTGAATTGGGTTATTTGAATTGTTAGTATTTAACTCCTTGAGCTCCTTTACTAATCTGTAGGCCATGGTTTTGTCCTATTGATTGTATCCTTTGCCTTACAGAAGCTTTAGAGTTATCAATTATTTATCTTACAGAGCCTAAGCCCATGGTATTCTGTTCAGGAAACTGGATCCAGTACCAATGTGTTCAGGGCCATTTTCCACTTTCTCTTCTATTAGATTTAGTGTATCCAGTTTTATGTTGAGGTCCTTGATCCATGGGGATTTGAGTTTCTGCTGGGTGATAAATATGAATCCGTTTTCATTCTTCAGCATGTAGACATCCAGTTAGACCAGCACCATTTGTTGAACATGCTTTCATTGAACCATTATATGGTTTTGGCTGCTTTATAAAAATCAAGTGTCAATAGGTGAGTAGGTTTATTTCAAGGTCTTTCATTCCATTCTATTGATCAATGTTATTGTTTCTGTACCAATACTATGTAGCTTTTATCACTATTGCTCTGAAGTAGAGCTTGAGGCCATGGATGGTGATATTTCTAACACCTTCATACCTTTCCACTCTTTACCATCCTTTTACTGCATGAGCCATAGAAAAAAACTATTGTTGGTTTTCTGTTTCTGTTATTTAGTTCACATATGTGACTCCTAAAGCTTTTATGGCCTGCTGAAATTGCCTTCTCTAGCATTAAAAGTTTGAAAAAGGAGTCATCAACCTACTCATGAAACCTTCAACCCAACATTTGTCCTGCATACAAGATACACAGGGTTCAAAAAGAAACAGAGATTGAGGTAAAGGTCCCAATGACTGGCTCAACTTGAGACACAACCCATGTAAGATTGCTAATCCCTGATACTATTAATGATACTGTGCTATGCTTGCAGATAGGAGTGTAGTATAACAATTTCCTGAGAGGCTTAATCCAGCAGCCAATGAAAACAGATAGAGAAACCCACAGCCAAAATCAGGAGATTTTCATGGAGTCTTGTGGAAGAATAGAGAATAGATGTCAGTAAGCTGACATTGTAAGGACACCACAAGAAGACTTACAGAGTCAACTAAGCAGGGCCTGTGGGGTCCAGCAGAGACTGAACCACCAACCACAGAGCATATAGGTACTGGACCTAGACACCCAACACATTTATACCAATTGTGCAGCTAGGTCTTCATGGAAGTGCCCAAAGAATTGGAGTGGAGGCTGGTTTTTACTCTATTGCCTGCCATTTGATCCCTTCCCCTAACTGGACTACATGGTTAGATCTCAATGGGAGAGGATCACAGTACTTAGGCATACTGTGATTGGATATCCCAGGATGGAGTGGCATCCAATGTAGACTTCTATTTCTCTGAGGAAAAGGGAAGGTCATAACAGACGGAAGGATTTATAAGGTAGGGACTGAAAGAAGAGGAGACATGGGGGCATGTGTAATCACTATGTAAAATGAATACATAAAAATTTTTTTAAAACTTTTACTGCAGTAAAACTTCAGTAGGATTGTTGTAGTTTTTGGAATGTCGAAAAGAGGAATTTTTGTGTCATCCAACTTGACAAGAATCATAGAATTAGAATTTTTTTTTGTTCTTTGACTATTTCTGTTTATTTATTTATTTATTTATTTATTTTATTTATTTATTTTAGGACAATCATTTGCCATTTTACTTTTTATTGGATGTTTTATTTACATTTCACATGTTGCCCCCTTACCCCATCCCCCACCCATCCAGGAACCCCCTACCCCCTCACCCCTCCTCCTTCTTCTCTGTGGATGTAACCCCTACCTACTCCCAACTCCCACCTCCCCACCCTCAAATTCCCTCCCCTAGGGGCTTCCAGCCTTCATGAGGTCAAGGTTCTCTTCTTCCACCTAAGCCCAGCAAGGCCCTCCACTCTTACTTATTCAGCTGAAGCCCTGGATCCCTCCCTAAGTGCTCCCAGGCTGGTGATTTAGACCCTGGGAGCTGTGGTTGGTTGGTATTGTTGCTCTCCTCATTGGGCCACAAACCCTTTCAGCTCCAGTGAACTTCACTCTAACTCCTCCATTGGGAACCTCATGATCAGTTCAATGGCTAGTTGTGAGCATCTGCCTCTGAATATGTCAGACTCTTGAAGACCTCTGAGGAGACATCCTTATCAGGCTCTTATCAGCATGCACTTCCTGACTTCCACATCAGCATCTACCTTTGGTGACTGCACATGGGATTGATACTCAGGTGGAATGGTCTTCAGATGGCCCCTCCTTCGGTTTCTGTAACTCACTTTGTCTCCATATTTGATCCCTTGAATATTTTGTTGTTCCTTCTAAGAAGGATCAAATCACCCCCATTTGGTCTTCCTTCTTCATGAGCTTCATGTGGCCTGTGAGTTGCATCTTGGGCATTTCAAGGTTCTGGGCTAATATCCAATAATCAGTGAGTGAATACCATGTGTGTTCTTTTGTGATTGGCTTACTTCACTCAGGATGATAATTTCTAGTTCCATCCATTTACCTAGGAACCTCTCGAATTCATTGTTTTTAATAGCTGAGTAATACTCCATTGTGTAAATATACCACATTTTTTGAATCCATTCCTCAGTTGAAGGACATCTGGGGTCTTTCCAGCTCCTGGCTATTATAAATAAGGCTGCTATGAACATAGTGGAGCATATGTCCTTGTTATATGTTTGAGCATCTTCTGGGTATATGCCTAGGAGTGGTATAGCTGGATCCTCAGGTAATGCTATGTCCAATTATCTGAGGAACAGCCAGACTGATTTCCAAAATGATTGCACCATCTTGCAGTCCCACCAACAATGGAGGAGTGTTCCTCTTTCTCCACACCCTCGCCAGCATCTACTATCACCTGAGTTTTTAATCTTAGCCATTCTGACTGGTGTGAGATGGAATCTCAGGGTTGTTTTGATTTGCATTTCCCTGATGACTAAGGATACTGAACATTTCTTTAGGTGCTTCTCGGCCATTTGAGTTTCCTCCGTTGAAAATTCTTTGTTAAGCTCTATACCTCATTTTTCAGTAGGGTTATTTGGTTGTCTGGAGTTTAATTTCTTGAGTTCTTTGTATATATTGGATATTAGCTCTCTATCAGATGTAGGATTGGTAAAGATCTTTTCCCAATTTGTTGGTTGTCATTTTGTCCTATTGACAGTGTCCTTTGTCTTACAGAAACTTTGCAATTTTATGAAGTCCCATTTGTCAATTCTTGATCTTAGAGCATAAGCCATTGGTGTTCTGTTCAGGAACTTTTCCCCTGTGCCCAAGTATTCGAGGCTCTTCCCCACCTTCTTTTCTATTAGTTTCAGTGTATCTGGTTTTATGTGGAGGTCCTTTATCCACTT